GGGGGGGGGGGTAGGACCACCCAAGCAGGTCTATCTTTCCTTGTGATCCAAACTTACTGGGAAAATACGAACAGATGGCTAGACTGGTGGATGAACATGCCCGTATGCACATACACACACACACTGCATAATAGCCTGTCAACCAGTGATCTCCAGCATTTCCTTGCTGAAAATTTCTTTTCTGGATTCTGATTAGTATTCTGGTTGCTGGTTTGAGGTAGGAGTGATGGTTAAGAGGGTGGCTGAGTAGTGGGCAGGTGTCTCAAGTGGACGATGCCTATGGAAGTAGGGGATTGGGAAGAGTAATTGCAAGTGGCTGACTAGGGCAGTTGTCCTATTTACAACCCTTCACATGGAAAAGCCCATTGAAAGCTGAAAGAAGAGGGCATGGTGGCGACAATGGGCTTAAGAGTCAACCAGGTAAGAGTCAAGATCTCTCAGTTTGGAAACTGTGCTGTAATCTACACTCACTGAATCTATCCCAAATTTTGTCTTCCACCTGCAGATTTTCCCCTTAAGTAACTGTTCTCTTAATCTTCCCATTTCTAACCCAGGCCAAAGCAAATAAGTCACAGATGCTTTTCCAGTTGACACAGGGGTAAACTGAGATACAGAAATTAATTTTTGACAGGATTTGCTTCAGATCCAGATGTCTAGATCTTGCAGGACCCACTCACAGGGCTGGTGAGGGTGCTGTGTGTCACACTGCTTCTGTTGCTGCCATCAGTGAAATCACAAAGAATGCAGATATGATTAACAAAGTGAGTATTGTTCCATATTCATCTTGTCACCTACAGTCAAGCTGCAATCTTTCTAATATGTAGGGAAATCACTCGCTGACAGAGAAAAAGGAGGGGGATTTTTTAAACAGACCTACCAACCTGCTGTTGCTGCACTGTTTAGAGTCTGTCACCTGCAAAGTCCAAATCAGAATTGGCTGTTAGGTCTGCTTTTTTTCTTTCTCTTTTTTTTCTTTCCTTTCTAGAGGTTTCCGCACTCACTCTAAATACAGCTTGCCTTCCTTTAGAATTCTGGGTGATTGCTGTAAATGACAACACCTGGCCTTTAACCTGAACCCCAGTTCCATTTCATTATTACCTTTAAGAACATTTTCTCTTTGAATTTTACCATCACTTTAAATTTGCTACAACTAAAACCAAACTCAGGAACACCTCTCCAACTGATCTGTAGCCCTGAGCCCTTCTTTGAATCTCTGTCTCTATTAGTGACACCATGACTCTCAATAGCCCAGGGACTGAGCCTTGGAATCAGTCAACCACCCTCTATCAGTCAACATCGTGTCTTGACAGTTCATCTGTCACAAGTGCCTCATGAGTCCATGCTTTCTTGACCATTCCTTCTGCTGTCATCATAACCCACGCTCTCATTACCTCATGCCCGGATTACTGCAGCAGCCTCCTGACTGGTCTCTGTGCATGCTGCCTTCTCCTTCCCGCCAAGTGATCCTTCAACACTGCTGCCAAAGGAATCTCCTTAAAACATCTCTCATCATGTCACCTCCCTGCTCAAGAGCCTATAATAGCTCTCCTTTGCTTAAGATATCAAGTAGAAATTCCTCCATTATAAGAGGCTTGCCTTCCACAACAGCTGAACCTCTCTGACCTATTTCGTCCTGACCCCCAAGCTCTACTAGTTGCCTTATTCTTCCTGCCCTGCTGTACCCCACTAAGATCTTGCTCCTCTCTCTGTGTACTCATCTTCCTGCTAATCCTCCAACCTGCAGTAGCCACCTTTTCTCCACCCCTGCAAATCCTTCTGTTGCATCCTCTAACAAGCTCAAGTCCAGCCTCTTCTGTGAAGCCTTTCCTAGTCATTCTAGCCTTCATTGGCTGCCCTCCTTTTTTTAAATTACAATTTTCCCCGGACTATGAAAGTAATACTTATACATAGTTAAAAGCTGAGAACACAGAAAAAAATAAAGAAAAAGAAGAGTCACCCACAATCCTCCTTTTTCCAATTTGGAATTCAGACTACTTCCCCACCACATTTTAGCATTTGATTACACTGTCTCATATTGCTTTGACTTCCTCTGTATTCACCTTTCTCCTCAGTGAGGGAGTGAGTTCTTGAGGGGCCTCTTTGATCCATGTGTCATGCAGAACAGTGCTGGATACATGGACACATTGTAGGGACTCAACAAACCCTTGGTAGTGGGTGGAGGGGATATAAGTTGTACATTATCCAGTCTATACTGCCCCCTCCCATTGCTGAGGGGAGAAGGGTGCATGCCTGGGTAGCTGCAGCTCTGCTACTTCCTCTTCCAGGTGAGGGATGCAATTGGCAAGAGGGGACTGCATATCAAGAGAAAGCTGAGAGCTCAGTGTTCATAATGCCCTTGAACTCTACTGCCTCTGATGACACAATTCCCTTGTACAGTGCTGTTTTTTCCCCTAAGGAAGCCTCTGGCTTTGAACTGAGAGTTTTGTTTCATTCTGGCCATCAGAATGAGCTTTTCCTAATATGTTGGCATGTAATTGCAAGAATCACTAATTGCCCCCTTTTGCCCATCATATCAAATTGAAATCTCTGGCCTTCAAAAACCATCTGCCAATTCACTTTCCTTCTCTTTCCCATCTCACTAAGGTCTCTCTCATGGTTTTCCTAATTAATCCCTTTACTTGACCCAAGCCAGCCAGTGTGCTATACTCTCAAAAACTAACTTCCCTAATGTAAGGGTGCCAGATGGAAGGTTATTTGTTACCTACCATCCTCCCACCTCAGCTCCAGGCCCTGCACAGCCTAGACCCCCTATCTTGAATCCTGTCCTTGTTTCTTTCCACCACTGAGGTTCATGACCCCAACAACATGTGCTGCTATTGACTTCAGACTCAGTGTGCAACTTTCTCAGTCCTTGTGTAATCATTTTCTATTAAAATATCAATATGAGCTTGCAATTATATTATTATATGAAAGTGTTTCCCAGCTAGTTCCCATCTGGGTCCTGTGAGCAATATTAGGCAAAGTATATACTCTGGAGTCACACTTACCACTTAATGTATTTCATGATTTCGAACACACAGTTTTAACATTTCTAAAACTGGAATGCTTCTTACAATCCATGGTGCATTATAGTTCAGTTGGTGGCATCTTTTTTTTTTTTTTTTTCCCTCAGAGAAACCTAAGAAAATGTTACCTCTCATATCTAGAGTCAGTGAAATATGGTACTAAGTTACTTAACCTCTCTGAGGCCCCACCCTTTTATCTGAAAAATACTTACATCAGAGGGGTATTGTGAGGACTCAAAGATAACATTTATATAGCACTTATCATAGGGCTTAGCACTTCCATGGAAGCTCAATAAATGTCAGCCATTATAATTCCCCAACTTTATAAACTATAAACCCCTCAAGGGCAGGGACATGTATTTTTCTCTTCTAGCAGATAGTATGTATGATGTGAAGGCTGGAAAAAAGTTCTCTTTCCAAAAATATTTCCTTTACTAGACTGCCAAACAGCTGAAATTTCAACATTAATCACTCCTTTGAGTTAAGGCATTATCTCCTGAAGACCTCTGTTAAAATGCAAATATGTCACTTGGGAAGGTAACATATTAATTCATTAGCATTCATGATCCTATTAGTGCAGATTAGTTTATTAGATTAACTAGCTGGTGCCAAGAAAACACTGTGAGCCCTAGTAAGGGTGCTAGTAAGGTATATGACTTAAGGTAGAAATGGAGGCGTGAGGGGGTCAGGCAATCCTAAGCTTGAGGCCAACTCCCATCTGCTCTTGCATTTGAGGGTTTATTTGTCAACAAGATTGTGACTCTGGTCTGTGATAAACAAGAAAAGATCTCAGTGACAGAAACAAACACATGGGTGGAAGGAAATGTGAGGTTAGAAGGAAGGTCAGTCCTTAAAGATCATCTAGTTAAGTCTCCTCCTCAAGTTTTTAACTTTCATCAGCAGGACATTCGCTGCTTCCTTAAGAAGAGGCATTTGCTAGCTTATTCCATTGTTGAAAAAGTCTAGTTAGAACATTTTTTTATATTGAGATGAAAGCAGTCTTTCAGTAACTTCTTTCCTTTTTCTTCCTCTTAGCAGCCCCTTTAAAATACAGTCATATGCCACTTAATGATGGGGATACATTCTGAGAAATGTGTTATTGTGCAAACACCATACAGTGTACTTACATAAACCTAGGTGGTATAGCCTACTACACACCTTGGCTACGTGGCATAGCCTATATCTCCTAAGCTAAAAGCCTGTATAGCATGTTATTGTACAAAATGACATGAGATTAAATCAAGCACAAGAGAAAGTGATGCAATCAAGAGACACCATAAACACAAGATGTATGAGGCTACTGCCTGTATCACACTGCATACTATTTTACAGTAAACATTTTTTTATACGTAGGAAGAGTATACTCTAAAATAATGATTAAAAGTATAGCATAGTAAATATATAAACCAATAATGTAGTCATTTATTATCGTTATCAAGTATTATACACTGTATATAATTGTATATGCTATACTATTATATGACTGGCAGAACAGTAGGTTTGTGATTACCCCAGCATCACCACAAACACATAAGTAACATGTTGTGCTATGATGTTATGATGGCTACAACATCACTAGGCAATAGGAATTTTTCAGCTCCACTATAATCTTATGGGACCACTGTCATATATTCAGTCCATCAATGACTGAAACATTGTTATACGACACATGACTGTATCTGAGTATAGTTATCACATTTGTTTCAAATCTGTCTTTTGACTTCTATTTTACTTTACTATTTTTGCTAAATCTATCCAATTTGCTCAGTGATTCCTTTTGTGGTATTATTCCACAGCTGAGCTTCTTAAATTGTAGGTTCATAAACTTCCTGGAATTATATGTAAAACGTTGACTAAGTGTATCTACATGTCTTCCTTCAGGGTTCATAGCTTTCAACAGTGGTCCAAGACCTAGAAGAGGCCTTAGCCTATTGACCTTATAACATCTTAGTCACTTTCCTCTTCTAACACTCCAATTTGTGAAGGTGCCTCTTAAGGTTCCTGGTCAGAACTGGTCACATTCTTCCTAGGGTGCTCTAACCAGCACAGAGTACAGTGGATACAGTGCTCTTATGAACAGCTTAATATTGCACAGTTCTCACTTTCAGAGAGCTCTCAGTTTAATGAATGGATGAAAATATCTTGTTCTCAGATAACTAACCCTCACCTGACTAAGTCACTGTTTTCAAAAGAGCAGCTTGCTGCCTACCCCTCATCTCACCACATTGAAGAACATCTCAGTTCTTTCAATGGGAGCTAGTGGAAGCCCCTTGTGGGTACTTGTCTGGTCAGGCCATTTAGAAGGCTAGTAGAACAGCAGTGTGACTGGGAACAGCCCTTGAGTTGTCTCCAGTGCCCTCATTTTCCAAATTCTGTGCACTGTGAAGAAATGCTTGGCTCTCACACATATATGAGAAAACCCAGAGAGGACTGGAGCTCACAGCTAGCCCTTCTTGATGTAGCAAGCCTAGTAGCCTTTAGATATGGAGTTTGGGGAACTGGTGGTATCAGTAAAGAACAAGGCCACAAATGCTTCAGGAAGGACCAGCTCTTAAACATGAATGAGTATGCCAACTTAAGAAATAGACACATATTGGAGAGATGAGCTCTCCTCTATTCACTCCCTACTGGTCACCTAGACAGAGCACAAAAAGGTAAATATTAAAGGGTATTGGAACTATATGGGACAGGAGCAGGCAGACTGGTAAGTGACAATCACTTATAATGTGTAACAT